AGGCCAATTGGATTTTCATTACAGTGAAAATAAATGTATAAAATACTTATGCATAATTTCAGTTTCACAAGGCATGTGGAAGCCAAATGCTAACTTTCCCAAATGGAACTAGTAACAAATTAGAAGCCTGTGGGAATGCAGTAATTTGATTATTATTTTGAGTTTCCCCATCACTAAAATCTTCTGAGGAGTGATGTGTGACTGCATATTACATTCAAGCTTGTTTTGAGTCAGCACATCAAACAGCTTGAGTCAGCACATCAAACAGCTTGAGAAGCTCCAGTGTCCAGAGTAGGGAGCCATCCTTCAGCAGAAAAGTGCTGAACTATACCTTTCATTTAAGCACTATTTTGAAGGCAAACTGTCATCTTTTTCAGACTGTCCTGAAAAGAATATCTCTGCAACACTATGTCAGGCAACCTTTCAAATACAGAACACAGTGGCTAAAATATTCTCCCCATCTGTGTCATCAGTCCAGGCTAGAGTACCATAATCACATCAAAAATAAAAAGAAAAAACAGAGAAATATCAAAAAATGGAGATACAGATACTGTATCAACTTGTAGCAAACCACACCAACAAACAAAGCATTAACTAAAAACAGTCAAAGTGCATATTTATACATGACACCCCTTTTATGCTAAGGAATCTCGGTACAATGGCCTAAAGAAACATTAACATATTTCTCTAATGCAGTTAGAAATAAGTACTGTGCTAATTGGTACATGGTAAGTTTGATTTCAGGCGTTCAGGTGTTACTGGAATCTTCTCAGCCCACTAGTATTACAAACCTGTTCAGATTACTGGTACTTTCTTAAAATATCATTTTGCTTAACTTGAAGCAGTCTCCCACAACTTGTTTCTGTTCTTTCTCCACTCTCCACTAGTAACCTGAAAGGTCCATATATGGCAGGTATGTGTTGTTAAACTTATACAACGTGTTTTAAGGTTTAGCAGCATGAGACAGCAGCACACACACTTGGTGAAAGTATTTCACCAAAATTTCATTCTTGGAAACACAGAGACCTCATTTCTCCCTATTACATGCACATTACTAAGAAAATCCAGAGTATAAACGTTACTGAGAGAGTAATGAAATAGTTATTGCTAAATTAACACAGTACAAAACTAATCTCAGAAAAAATCTAATCTTAGGAAAAAAAAACTAATCATTTAAAAATAAATCATTTTTGCAACCTGTAAGATTTCCCATGTCAGGGCCATGTGAATCTTATGGAATCTTTTCAATTAATTCAAAATCCCCCAAGCAACCTGTTTGCTTAAAGATATATCTTAAAGCAATTCTATATAAACAGCATTAAGAAGATTCCAAATTCCACAGCTTGGAATTCGCAGTTTTCCAGACGATCATCTTCTCCCATTTACCAACCCCTCAATGCTATGTGTGACCAGCAAGTCAAATTTCAGGAATGCACAGATTACTTATCTGTGACACTTTTCCAGAGAGTTTTGTGCCTCATCATTTGTGTATATTTTATAATCCATTACCCACAAATATTTTGCAGAGAAATAAGGGAAAGTATACTTATACTTCATATGTGGAATAGTAAACACTTGCTGTTACATGGGAAATTGAAAACAACCAAACAGTCTTGTCCATTACTGCATACACTAACAAGACGTGGAGGTATGAAGAGAGGTGTATCTTTTTACCCTGCAAAAGGCACCTATGATCTGCTCGAAGACTAGAAATAACGTTGAAATCATTGGAATCAAACTATGTATCACAGACCACACATTGGACAGGATTTCAGTTGTCATATACTTGAAAGCATGTTTTCTTGCAAAATTTGTGCAAAACTCAAACAAGAGCAATTAGGATTTCTCTGTCTTTTCCAAAGGAGATGTTCAGCAACATTCAAAGCACCAGTCTGCACTCTCCTCACACCTTATCAGACCCATATTTAAATTTGGCAGGTTTGGGAACTGAAGAGACAAGATGCAAACAACTGAGAACACTGGCTCTCAAATCAAGTGGGCAGTTTAGCTCAGAAGAAAGTTATGAGGCAAAATAGAACTTATTTTACATTGTAATATTTTCTATAGATCTCTTTTTAATAACAACAAAAAAATTAAAAAGCTGATCAAAGAGCAGAGTTTTTGCTCCAAATATTTCTTTCCAATGTCTACATAGGGCATATGTTGTGTATATTTTCTTTGTGTTAATCTGAAAAATCATTCTTATATGACAAGCATAACTTGTGTTTTCACAGAAAAAATACATTTAATTAAGTTAGAAAGCTACAAGATTTCACTAAAGCATTCAAAATATATTCCTGTGCATTTCTCAGTTCCTCAAACTATTTTCTTAAAGAGGCTATGTCAAGTATATGTATTAAAGATCCATTTCAGCTACCTTTCTTCAAGAAGGACGAGAATGTATGATAGTAATTATGCAAGTAAAGGGCCTTTTCTATTTTTATGGACATACATTGAGAAGTCTAACGCTTTTAGATCATCAGCTCCAGGACTGTAATTTTTTAATGGTGATTCTAAGTGCAAAACCTAGGGAAAGTAGAGACCAGAGACAAGACTCAGAAACTTGCCTTTGCACTAGTAATAAGCTAGTAAATTCACACCTCTGTGACAGTAATATTTGAACCCACTGGTAATCATTTAATCAGACATTCTTATGCAGTGGCAGATAACAGTGCTCAGCCAGAAGAGAAGCATCTCTCAGTGTGTTCTTCAGATCAGTTTCCAGCAGTCACTGTGCCGTCCCACCTACAGTAACAAGAATAACTTTACTGCCCAAGAGCCAGAGTATCTACATGAGTGTTTCATTAGCATTCATTCAACACTTCTCAACTATGGTCTCCAAGAAAACTATGTTTAAGAACAATCGTTGAGAAACTATTTTAATTAAGATCTAGGACTTCAACATATATCATCTCGATGTGCTTTTTTAGACTAACCAGAGACTATGCCACAAAAAAAAAAAAAGAAAATAATTGTGGACACAGTAAAATGACATTCCCACTGAGTTTTAAGTGAGGTGCATTCAAGTGAGGACGCTATGATATAGCTCACTGTTTCTTCATACTATGTCTCACCTCATGCAGGCCATCTCAACCTGATCATGCTGAAAGGATCCAGCAAGCTCAGGACACATTCCAGACTCTTTGTTTCCAAAAGAAGCCATGTGAGGAATTGGCTACGTGGCAAGGATGTTATGCCTATCATCATGCTATTCAGGACACCACTTAAGCTATTTTGAAAGCAAATGGCCAAGACTTTATGATCTTTCTGCAGATCCTCTTTGTACCTTGGACCACAGAGCCTTGTAAGTGCAATTCAAAAGGTGACAGCTGGTGGAAAAGTACTGGTCAGCTTTCACTGGGGTGAGGTAGGGTAAAGAGGGCTTTAAAGCTACTAGCTTTTAGGTGTTTCATCAGCTATTCACATGAAACTCACATGAAACCAGGATCATACAGTTTTAGCCCTCTAGATGCTCCGGTTTATTTCCATAAACATGACTACCAGTTCTGCTGAAGTCCTATATTATTTTTGAATTATAATGGAAAGCAAACCAGTAAAAATCTGTGTTATACACAGACTAGATATATGTCCTAACTCTATGGCACTATCAGATGAAGATAAAAGAGGAATTCCCTTCACCTGCAATTTGTCTGGCCTACAAACGAATGAGGAGAGATAACATGAACAGCTGAGAAGAGTAGTGAAAAACCTGGAGACATAGAAACTTCTGGGCAATACTGTATGAAACACACAACATTCCTTCCTCTCCTTCTTTCTTTCCTGCCATTTAACTATGTTAAAGCTGGCCAACTCAACCCTCGTTTGCAATTTTCACTGTCTGACTTCCTGAATTAATCCACGCCACACTTGGAAAAGTTCCCAGTACTCACCAGTAATTTCCCCTGCATTTCCACTTATTAAAGCAATTGCTTCTTTATTGGGAAGTTTCCATGGGAATATTAAACATCCACCTCAAGAGTGGCAGCCCATAAATAAGAGGTAAATATTAAATAATATTGAGAATATAAAAAGAAGAAAATCTGCCCTCAGTGTATTTTTAAACATTTAATGGGAATCACAAAATACCACTCTGAAAGAAGAGTTTGGAATGGAGGTCTTAAAAGGATCAGGCACAAAACATTATCATAGAAAAGTAAGATTATGTTATTTAGAGACAGCAGCTACCTGGTGGCTTTAAAAATTTTAAAATATTCCAGTAGCTGTCGGCTGTCTTGGTTGTTTATTCAAGTTCCTCAGAACTTGATAAATACTTCCAAATGTTGCCATTATCAGATAACATTGATGTGAGGATCTAAGCTAGATCATTTCATCGGTGTAAAGCAATCTGGGGCTGTCAGCCACTCTGCTGTTCATTCCTATTGGATTATACAGCCTTTAAGTAACTTTATGAACATAAAATACTACCTAATGCTGCTTCTAAAGATTTATTACCTTACCTTACTCCTAAAGACTCAACTATCTTACTGTTTATCAAGCTGTTGACGGGAAATGTTTACAATATAGAACTGTACAATTTTATTTTTAGTTCTGCTTCACAAGGAATTTTCCACTGAAGCTCTTTTAGAGTTTCTGGCCGAGATTTTCAAAGTAGACCAAGAAAGAGGATGGAAACAGCCCCTTTTCAGTAGTGCTCAGTGATAAGATGAGGCAGCAGGCACAAAGTGAAACACTGAAAGGTTTCAGCTTGAACATCTGAACATAATGAAAAACTTAGTTATTGTGAGGATAATGCAACATAGGACCAAATTGCCAAGAAAGGTTGCAGAGTTTCTATCCCTGGACCTATTCAAAAGCCATTGCACACAATCCTGGGCAATGAGTTGTAGGTGACCCTGCCTGAACAGAGTCAGTTTGACTATACGATCTACAGAGGTCCCTCCCAACCTCAACCATTCTGTAATTCTGTAATCTTTGGTCTGGAATAAATCCAGAATATGAAAAAAAAAAAAAAAAAAAAAGATTTACTCTGCTTTCCTTTCTGGTAATAGCTTCTTAGCAGTAGCTTCATTCCCTGAGTCATTAGACTGCGAATTCCTCAAACAGACAGATCTTCTTTCAAGGACATCATCAATTTCATTCTCAGTAACTCCCTAAAAAAAGCACCTCAAGTCAACTTCACTACCTGAGAAGAACAGCCAAAAGTATCTAGCTCAAGGTAAAACCTTTTAATTCCTTCCAAAAGTGTCAGACTAACTCAGGGCAACAGATATGGTCCTCTGTCCCTTATAATCTTCTCAATAATTTATATTAAAACTAATTTAAGAAGAATTTAATTCATTTAAGAATGATAAGAAAGACAAAGGAAAGATATTCACTGGAATTCTGTCTCCACCTAGAGGTTGTGACAAAAACTATCTAATATGCAATGAACAAGATGATTAAACTAGCTAAAAATGGGACTCCTTGTTATAACAAACTTCTAGTGATCAGACAGGTACATGCTCTAGGTACACAAGTAAATTAAAATCAACATTCCGATGCAAGCTGAGATCAGAAGACAGAGGACAAGCTAGAAATATATTCCTGTGTGCTTTTCATAAATGAAAGGCTAGTTTCAGCTTCAAATAAATTCCTATATAAAATCCACTGAAGGGAACAAGAAGAAAGTATTGATCTGCTTAAAGCAAATGTGAAATATATATAAATATACTTACATATATATATATATTTGATTTTATGAAGGACATTGACATTCAGTGTTCGCGGTAAGACACATTAGGCAGTCAAGAAAATTGCAACTGCTGTCACTGCTGAGGACTGGACAAAAAATTGCTTCATTTTGTGCAAAGCAGAGGGGACAACTTTTTCCAATAGCAGGAGGTGAGGGGTTTTGTTCATTTCGTAGTTGAGAGTGAAAATACACTCACTTTCTTAAGAGGACTGGCAAATGGTGTTGCTAAGTGGAAAACTTTGGCTGTGGCCAAAGTGATGCTGTGCAGTTTCCCTCACTCACTCCAGCACAGCAATCTGAGAACCTGTTTGGATATTCTGCTTTTCACTCTACATGGTGTTCACGTGCACCATCCTTTTCCTTCCCGTGCCACTGGCACTGTGCTGTGCTCATTCATGAGCGGAAATTGAGACTCTCCTGCTGACCTCCTGTCCATGGCACTGGGAAGCAGGGAAGCGAGGAAACACGGCCTAGTCCAGACCGGCTGCACCGTGTGAGGTGCACACAACTAAACGGGCCCCTTCACGGGCCCAGGGTGGACTCGTGGGGGCAGGGCCCACGAGCCTGATGTACTGGAACCCGGAGACGCTGTCACGTCACCCCTGGTGCCTCTTGCACTGCCACCCTGACACTCACCGCGGAGAGCCGCTGCTTGGCCTGTGTGGAGGTGAGGAGGCTCCGCACCCGCTCGTTGATTTTCTCCCAGCTGGAATCCGCACCGGGAGACAACCTGCTGGAGGAGAGCAAGCAGTCACACCCCATTCCCCTCTGGAGTGCAAATGTCTCCTTTTCATGTGCACTCTAGCTGATGCCTCATTTGTCCTACCCTTTCCATACCAAATCACACTGCTCCCTTCATCCCCTCACATCAACAAGGACACTCAACACTCAATAGGGAAACCCACAAACACATTTGCTTTTGTCCCTCTCCTCCTTCAGCTACTTATTTCTTCCCGACAATTTTTTTAGGCTTCATCAGACTAGTGCTTCCATCCCTCCCTCTCATCCCTCTCATTAAACATGCTCTGCCCTCTCTATCCTTGCTCCCTACCTCTTTCTGTCCTCAACTCCTCTCTGCTTCTCATCATCATTCGCAGTGTCTCTTCTCTCACACCTGTCAATAAAGAGAGGCATAGTTGTCTTTGATCACACTGAAAAGGGGAAGGCCACAATACACATAAGTCTATTCTCACTGTCTTAGTATCAGGAAGATTATACGGTTAATGGTTTAAAAAGAATCTTTTGTGTTTGCCTGGTAAGAAAATATTGTCCCTTTAACAGCATATTTATAACTCTGTTAGCCAGCGTAATTAACAGCCTTCTGCAACATTTAGCAATGAAATTTGAACCATGTAGATTGACAACCACGTCGGAGATACATTAGCTGGGCTAGGAAGCTGTTCCATGTTTCTTTTAATCCACTTTACAGAGAAAATGATTCACTACAATGTCATTTTCATATGTCTAGAAACTGAGTCAAATTACGAAAAAAAAAAAAAAATCAGTGTTCCTCCTTTTCCAGGGTGGAGAAATATATATATATTTCAATATTTATTACACAACCCTACAATTACAAGTGAGAAAATGTATGACCAAGTGGCTCCACAGCCCACACGGAAAGCAGACACCAGCCCAGTACAAGATGGTCAGACAGAAACCATTCCTCCCAAAGGGACTGCTCCAGCAAAGCACACGAGCACTTCTTTAAATCACTCATATATCCTTGTTCCTTCCCCAGAAGGAGATTGCCGTGACCTGCATTTCAATGCTGGGCTGAGGAGGCCAAAGGAGTCGTGATAAACAGCAGGTGGAAGGAAAGGCAAAATACACTGTCCTTGTGGGCCTACGTGAGCACTGGCAGGTAGGTGCACGATGAGTGTGGAAGGAAATTAGCATTCCGGGTATGCTGGTGTGCCTGACCTATTAGATCAACTCAAGCTGCCCCTGAAAAACAGTAGGTACATGAGGCAAATCTCTACTGAGAGCGCAGCATAATCCAGCTTCACTGCCATCAATAGTTACAGAACTCTTTTCAGTTGCATTAAGAAAAAAGAAACTGCTGTGTCTGTGTAAGCTGGAGACATCACTCATGTCTTGCACAAACACCTGGGTTAGAGCAGACCTGAAAATCTCCAATGCAAATCATGGCAACCAACAAACTGATCCAACATCCAACCTGCTTGTTCTGCAATGCAGGGCCAGGAGACACTAGAAAAATCATTTGTCTTGGGATTTTGGATAACAGGTTTCCCCATCTGAAGATCTGCCAAAAGGAAGGCACAGTAAAACTTTCTCTTGGACACAGCAACGACACCACAACAGCTTTCAATAGCTGCATTTCTTGAAGCCCTTTGTCAACTGTGTGCCTCAGGGAAAAGTGACTCTCAATAGGGTTTTTGGGGCCTGCCTCAACCTTGAGAATGGCTGCTTTTTCCAACTTGGGAGGGGGACTAATTTCACATCGAACAAACTTCATTTGATTCATGAAAGTTTCATGGAGGTAGAGGCAGGTACTGTCTTGGAAGGAACAGGACACTGCTGCATACAGGCAGCAAGACCATACCTCTCTGTGCACCAGTGACAACCTTGGGCTCACTAACACCCTTAGAGGACAGAAACTTCCCAGCCTAAGGCCCTGCTCTGAGGAACTGCCGCAAACTTGCATCCCACCACGCACTCAATTACAAATACTTAATAAATAAATAGAAAAATTAAGTTGCCCTAAGCACATGGGAAGAAGGAGATACTACCCAGAAGAGGAAGCCTACCTACTTTTCCTCTCCAAAGCTGAAGGCCGGTTGTGTCTTTTACTTGATTGCTCAGAGTGACTTTGTGTCCAGCTAGAGAGCTTAGGCCGAAGCAGAGCACAGGATACACACCACATGTTCCTCCATTTGGAGTTGAGGAATCCCCCTGCAAGCATCTAGCATGTTCTTGCTAGGGAACTAATCTTGATCCTGTTGGCTCAGTCCACAAAAATGTCATCTGAACTAGCACTCATGACCAGAAGCACTGGCTGCCATCTACACAAATGGACAGAAAGGGTTGTCCACCTCTGGCAGAGATACACAAACCAAAGCATGCTAAAGGGAGGGGAAACTGCATCTAAATTCCAGGTAAGGATCATGAGAGCACTCTGCAAGCTTTAGAAACAATAATGTGCATACAATCAAAAAGAATACATTACTTGTATTTTTCTACCTGACATGTCCCTAATTCTTGAAACTCACCATAAAATGCAGAAAACTTTTCTGTGATAACAAAAACTTCTTTTTATAATTATGAAAACAATACAGATGGAACAGAAATCTCACACTTCTGGACATAAAGCCAACTATCAACTAACTAGTTTTTCACACTTTCTGAAGAGTCCAAGACAATGAAGGAAAATTAACAGAAGGAACCATATACCCATACTAGGTTATCACTTCCTGATTAATTGCCACAATTTTTCTACTCTTTTTTTTTTCTGTGAATCATGAATTCAATTTTTCCAAGAAGACAGAATGTGAATTCTTGTCATCATTCAACTTATAGTCTCACAGCACAATGTTGCTCTGACTATGAATCTAGAACCTGTTTTGAAGAGGAGAGGGACTTTGAGCAGGATTTGGTGTCTTTAGCTGTTGGGAGATAGCAGATGGAGCTGCACAGTGAAAAGCCAAATGCTTCTGACTGGGAGAATGCTGTTGGTAACTGAAAAGTTCATCTGTTTCAAAAGATGATGAATCATGTTCAGAAGTAGCCTGTTCTGCTGGCTCCTTGACAATCTACAAATAAGAAAAAAAATAAGTAGCTAGAATTGACATTTAAAAGGGGGAAAAGATAAGGGGGAAAGAAAGGGACTGGGGAGAGAAAGGAAGGTAGAAGTCATCATCCATTTTACTACAATAAAGAATAAGGGAAATATTAGCATTAAACGAATTCATATTGCCAAACTTAAAAACCGTAGGCAGACCTACTGTTAGGTACATGAAATGAAAGCCCTTAAAAGTGTGACCGTAATTAAAAAAACAGAGTCCTTCACGCTGATGAGTGGCTCACAAAAGCTAACCAAACTCATTATTCTTGCCTGGAATCATCTCATTAGTAAAGACATAAGACACTATAGGACAGATAAACAAGCTGCCTCTGGCATCATCTATGAAAGCTTTATTTTGCTGCATTAGCCTAATAAGCATCCCTCTCAAATAATCACGCTGGCCCTGGAAATGAGAGGAAATCTGAAAAGATGTATCACACAGAAGGGCTTTGAGTCTTTACATAACTTGCACTTTTGCATTTGTCAAGAAGGAGTTCAAGAGGATTTTAACTACTCAGTAAAAAAGAAACATACTAGCAGCTCACTCTGTGATGGAAACAGTTTGGACTCCCACAACCGCATCACCCTTGTTGGGCTGTCCTTTAATCCTCACTCCCCCAGGCTCTCGACTCGCACTTCATCCTCCCCTATGCTGAACTCCATACATTCCAGTTGCTCTCTCACGTAAGGAGCAACTCTACCACCTCACCTTCCAGGCCTGTCCTTCCTGAAAAGCTTAAAGCCATCCATGGCCATGTTCCAGTCATGAGACCCGTCCCACCATGTCTCAGTAATTGTGATGAGATTGTGGCCCTGTAATCACACACACATCTCCACTTCCCCTTGTTTATTCCCCATGCTGCATGTGTTTATATAGAGGCATACCATAGAGGTATGTTGGGCTCCCAGTGTGCCTCTCTTTCTAGCTGGGGCAGCTGGAACTTGACCATGTGGGCCTTCAGAAGTTCTCTTATTTTCCCATTTAGCCTCTTGTGGTTGAGAGCGCCCTCCACAGGCTACAGAGTCAGCCTGCTGCGAGTAGCAGGACAGGCCATCGCCTACCCCATAACCTGCTTCCCCGATGATACCCCCCTCCCTCCTCAAATCTAGTTTAAAGCCATGCTTTAAATGAGCCATGCTAGCTCATGTCCCAGGGCTCTCTTCCCCCTTGGTCAATTAAGGGAAGCAAAAGTGATGGGGTGTGAAACATCTTAGCTGCCTTAGATGACCATTTTATGAAAGAATGAATCATCATCTTTCCATTGCAAAATGAAAGACCTCGGATGACTATCTTAGACTAGATGTCAAACCTTCTTTTGTTTAGTTAGCTTAGATGATTCCTAATTCCTGGGTATAGTTGTAGTTTAATCAGATATATTAATACAGCACACAACAAAATGCTGAACTGTTTTTAAGCCAGTTAGGTTTTAGTTTGCTAGCAGTGATGTTCCTTAGACTAGAAGACTAGACTCTTCTCCTAGACTAGAGATTCCATCTGCATAACTAACTCCCTCCCATAATGGTGATACTGCATTAGTTTTGCTGCTCTTCATAGTCAAACAAGTTAAACTAGCGCTATCACAGATATAACTTTACTTCACATGCCTCCAAACGAAATGCAGGCATTGGAAAGAGCGTTCTGGTCTACTCTATCTTTTACTTAGTCCTAGAACACTAATAAGTTAGATTTTTTACTAAAGTATGGTCTCTAGAAGTCCAGCACAGTTGGGCTGGGAAAGTTTCATATAGATTAGCCCTAAAATTTTTGCAACATAAAGGATTTTCAGTGAAAATAATGTGACACGATTTTCTAAATATAATATTGATTAATGCTGCAGGGCTTTCATTTTCCTGGAGACAAATTATTATGTTTCTCACATTTCCCCATAATTATTTAATTAGCTTTATCCATTACCGTTTTCCAAACCATCAAATTTCCTCATGAAATTCTTTCTGTAGAATATATAGGCTAGACTAGTAACAGAAAAGATGGAATCCTTCACTTGTTACTTTTTAAATTACCTTAACTGAAGTTTTTGATGCTTCACGGTTATCAAAAGTTAAAGCTTTAAAAAAAAAAAGAGCATTTCAGTGACATTATTAGCGATTAACTTTACATTGGTACTTTCACTTTTAATATATTAGCACTGAAGTAAAAATGGATTCTCACAAAATGTTCCTTACAGGGAATGCTCTTTATAAATTTCAGTTACATTATGTACCTGTATTACAGTACTTTGATTACATCTCTATCAGTAATAAGATACTTTTCAAAACAGAAATATACTTCTTTTTTGATTGTGTAGCTTTAGTGCCATTTCCCACATGCAAATTAGTTTATGAATATTTTGCATATGACAAAGGGCAGAACAGATGATGCGTAAGACTGATAACTTCACACTGACTATTGATCTAAAATTGCTTTTTTCTATTCACATGAATGGACACTGGATGAGGACCTTTAAAGGACTGTTTAATGAAAAAAACACACGGCTGGGGAAAGAAAAACATTAGTCAATGAAGAACAAAAGAATCAAGCTCTCTTTCCTTGAACTGTCTTCAAGACTGTTTTCTTCAGAGAGATATGCAACTCAACAAAGGAGAAATCACTTTTTAGAGCTTCTGCAGCCACTGTTTTCCAGGTACTGCTACCTGCTTATCCTAGGCAGCACTCTCTTTTTTGACCAGTTCTTCTGCAAATAGCAAAATCTGACATATGTTTTTTACATGTATAGGTTTCTTTGAGATACTTGGTAATATCATTGCTGGTATTAGCAATATTTCTTCACGGCTAAGGTCAAATTATAAGTACCTTGTTTCATATGAAATTTGGAAGAATCTCTTGCTGATTTCAAACTTTTCTTCACATTGCAGAAAGACAATGGTGAGGTTATTTCACCGAATGATTTGGACCTGTCCACCTAAATATGAAGAAAGAAAAGTAAGATGCACTTCTTAATCTACAAATCTAGGTCTAAAGACACATATTTCCAGCCTTTACCAAAAATAATAATTCTTCCTCCCTTTCTTACTCTTTTTTTTAATCCTCAAAAAGGGAAAAAATACACAGCCAGGAGGAAAAACATGAAAGGTACAATGCAGACATTTTGGCAAAATAACATCTTCTGAAAACAGTTTGGTCTTTTTTTTAATTTAATTTTAAAACAGAAAGTTTCTGGACAAAGTGTAGAAAATCTACAGCAAAAAAAAATTACACAAAAATTTGCCATAGAATGGCAAATTAATTCTGGAAATTAGAAATTTTCTACCCTTGGTTTCTACCCTTGGTGCTGGTCCCCATCTATTTGCAGTGTTTTTTTTTTTTTTTTGAAGTTAGAGATGCTACTTATTGTGAAAGAGAGATTATTTTTTCTTCAAAAAAACAAAAAAGCACCCTAGGCTCACAAATCCTGCTGACTTCATTCCTACCTGTAAGGGTCTTTCATTTCCCCACTCCAAGCACTGGTTAGATCAATTGACAGACAGCACTGTAACGCTGCACTGATGGATCTGGCAGCAACTCACTGCATTTTTTCTGTTTCCCATGCTAAAATGTAAACTCTCCTGCTGGCAGTGTGCTCTTGACTGAACAGCAATCTAATAACAGATGTGGGCTGGAGCTTTTGGAGTTCAGAATGAGAACTGTATATAACAAAATGTTATATAAAAATCTGCGTAGAAGGAACATGCATTTATCAGCATGGATGGCTAGGAAACTCCTGACTGAGCATAAACATGAAAACTAAGCATGCAGACAGAGAAAATAAGGTTGGGAGGAATACAAGAGTCATTGCCTGAGCCTGCAAGGATGGCATTGAAAATGCCAAAGCAAAGCTGGAGCTATAAATAATAAAAAAAAAAGTCATAAAGGGCAAGGGATTCTGTGAATACAGCACCAGCAAACTGGGAAACCTGAGGAAAATATGGACCTTATCAGCAGGCAGGGGTAAGCATGTTGGCATGCTGCATATCTAGTAGGCTGTGTCTGGATGGCATGCATCTAAGAGCACTGATGAGAGCAGAGCTGGTTGATGTCATTTGCACTGCAGTTCCTCATTATCTTTGAAAGACCAAAACAAGAGTCCTACAGGAAAAATGCAAACTTACCTTCAAGAAGAACAAAAAGGGGACCCAGGAAATTACAGACCAGTCACCTAACTCCAGTCTCTGGAAAATTTGTGGAGCAAATCTTCCTAAAAACCTTGTCCAGACATACAGAGAACTAGGAGGCAGTTAGGAGGAGTAAACATGGAACTGCCAAGAGTAGATCATGTTTTATTGTCCTTCTATGATGAGAGGACTGCATGGATAATTGAAGGAACAGTAGGTGACACTGACTTTAGCAAGCCTCTAACAAGGTCTGTAGTATCTTTATGGCCAAATTGGTGAGATAAGGACAGGAAAAACGGACTTAAATTCTGTGGAATGTTTGCCTGACAACTGTGATCAAACACTTGTGATCAGTGGTTCAAGTCCAACTGGTGACCAGTTACTGCAGGTGTCAGAATAAACAATGTCTAAACAATCTTTTCAAATGACCTAGATGAGGCTGCAAAGAGTACTTCCATCAAGTTCCCAGACTATACAGAATTGGGCAGAGTACTTGATATGCCAGAAGGCAGGGCTTCTATTGAAAGATACCTTAAAATGCCAGATAAATGGGCCAGCAGAAACACTATGGAATTCAACAAAGGTAAAACACAAAGTTCTGCATTGGGAATGGAACAAAGCCATGGAGCTCTAGAGGCTAGGAGTCAACTGGCTCAAAAACAACATTGTGGAAAAAAAAAAAAACCTGTGGGATCCTGGTGGACAACAGGACCAGCAATGTACAAAACTGTGCAGCAAAAAAAGCCCAGCTATGTTCTGGGCTGTATTAGTAAGACTGGGCCAGTAGGTCAAGGGTGGTAATCTTTGCCCTCTATTCAGCATTTATGAGACCACATCCTGCTTCAGGGTCTCCAGTATAAGACAGACCTAAGAATACTACATAGTCCAGCAGAAATACACCAGAATGGTCAGGATGCTGAAACATGTGATATGATAAAGAGACATTGAGAAGGCTGGGTTAATTTAGCCTTAAAGGGGAAGGTTAAAAGGAGATCCTGTTGCTGTCTACAACAAGGATGTAGAGAAGAAAGAGCCAGGCTCTTCTCAGAGAAGCACAGAGGAACAAGAAAAATCAACAGTTCAAGTTCCAATTAGATAGGACTTTTATTTTTTACCACAAGGATTTTCAAACAGCTGCTCAGAGAGGCTATAAAATCTCCATCCACATAAATATTCAAAAACACAACTGTGCAATGTCCTGAGCAACTTAATCAAACCAGAACTCCTTTGAGGCGAGGTGGGACTAGATGATCTCCAGGGATCCATTTCAGGGTAAATGACTTTATGATTCCCATGCAAAGCCAGATTTAAGAAATATACCCTGCTACAGATTAAAATAACTGTGGAAAGTTATAAAACTAATACAATTTTTTTAAAAGCTGGACTGCTAAATGTATGCACAATGAAATAAGATTGTGGAATGCAAGACCAGGACCTAAGCAAACACAAGGTTCTCCAGATACCTATCTCTTTAGCTTGCTAGTACTGATCATGTGAGAAACTCTCTCCCTCTTTTCCATTCAGACAAATCCTGCAACAACATATTGACAACAAAATAATCAGATGGGACACCCAAGCGGCCCAATGCAAAGCTGGATGAAATCTAGAAACACTTCCACTGATTTAAGTGACTAATGGAGAAATTCGACAGGTCAAAGTAGAATCAAGGGGACTGATGATCCCTGTCACAGACTGACTGGTCTGTCTGTGAGTCTAGTTGGGTTAATTCCAGTGCTTCAGAAGGCACAAAGAATATGAAATTATCTGCCCATAAATACCTTACTAACCACAAAAAAATGCTCTGATCTGTTTGGTCCTAAAGCAAAGAGAAGAGGGAGAAATTTTTCTGTCTTTATCTTATCTAAATATATCTTTGAAACTTTCACTGTCAATACTGCTTTCTTTTCCTGACTGTAGCTAACTCACTGTCCTATTTCCCGCTATTAAATTTCTTCAGTCTTCCCTTAATCTAAACAGCCCAAGATGAGACAAGGAAAAATGGGATAGAAAAAGATAGAATAGACAAAAATTAATGTTATTTTTATCCTAACAAAAATTTCCCAGAATTTTTAAAGACTTACATGTCTGACTACCAGTGGTGGCCTGTTCTCACTGTCCGGATGGCACTCAGCAGACCGCAAACTCGGTCTGCACAGCTGCTGTGGGTTCTCTGTGGGAAGATCACGGAAGTGGTCTCTAACATTTGAAGAAGGAGCCTGTGATTTTAATGACCTTTTATGCCTTTTGTGGATCTTATCCCTTTTCACCGATGTCTTGCATTGTGTTAATGACTTGCTCCTTTGTTTGGGGGACGCAGATGCAGATCTTTGATTCCTTGCTCTGTTTGGGGCCTGGCAAAGAAATTAACGGCTGCACAATTATCTGAATGAAAACAGGTACAAGGTATTTGCAACCTTCTCACGAAAAGAATGGCAAGCTCTAAGCAGAACTTAATTAAATGACCTATTGACCACATGAAAGCAGAATTTAGATTTTTGCATGTACAAACTAAATTTGAGGAACCTGTGATTCTCTGATGGAGTACATCCTGTTGCCCTTGCTGTGTGGGATATCTAGATATAAAGGCGAAAAAGGCTACAATGTGCAACATGTGGACTCTATCAGAGGTTAGTCCATTTTAACCAGGTCTGAATCCTAACTATAATTACTTACATAATTCTTCCCTTTGCAGTGAAGTGGAAGATCTGTGATGGTTGTTCTTGTGGAGAATTCTATTTTTGGTGCTATTCCCTTAAAAATATAACAAGGAAAATGTTTTAAAACATTATCACTGTGTATACATCTTCCCCCATTCAACATTCAGACGGAATATTTCAAGTTCTTAGTTGCAACTGCATAATCAAAATGAGAGAGGCACTGCCACTAGAAAAGACGTGTGGCAAACTCACCAGCAAGGAACAGTTTGCAAAGTAGTGTGGCTAAGAAAACCAGCAATTTGATCTTAATCTGCTGAGCAGGGATATAGGAGTCACTTTTAATAGGCATAAACCTTTCAAGAGGGGAAGCATAATGCACAGGGCAGCAAGATCAAAATACACACTTGAGACACCAGCACAGTACCGGCGCATTCTTCATAAAGGCAGGTCTGTGAGGAAAGGTGAGCAGAATGCTCTGGACTACATAAAAGATGTGCAGCTCTTCATTATTTGATTAGCAGGTGTATTTACACGCTAGCCTTCTTGATGAATCAGGTGTTTGATACTTCCAAATGTGTGAAACTGAATGCCACAGAGGTACCACCCAAGTTCTCTTTAACAGAACCTGCTGACTGAAGCCAAATAGCGAAACAAATTCCTCGAGAGGTTTTGGAATCTCTATCTTTAGAGGTATTCAAGACTCATCTTGACATCTAATTAGATCTTCTTTGATCAGAGGTTGGATTTGCTGGCCTCTGGAGGTCTGCAACCTGAATTTTTCTATGGTTGTCCTAAGAACATGAAATTATTCTCCTCTTCTACTGTGACAATTTGATAAAGCAGCTAGGTTTTCAGCAGTATGACAAACTGCTTAACCTGATCAACTCAAAACAATTTCATCTCTAAATAACATTATAAATAACTAAATAACATAAAAAATGTGCTTCCCCTTAATAATATTCACATTGCATCAAAGGAAATCAGGTTAGTTACATATCTGTCTCATAATTTACTGTCACTTTAGTGTCTCCTAAGAACGAAGTTAAAATTCATACAACATAACATTTGGCTAACTAGAACATGTAGTTCTACATTTCTGTTCCAGAAGTATGGTGAGAATTATTGTAGTAGGCAGAAGTTTCTAATAGTTACTTGTTGTAGAAGACTCAGACCTTTTTTCATTAGCAACTAATGCAAAAAAACCAGTTTTTCTTTTGAAATAAATACATTCTAATCTGTATAGAAATCACAAAAAATCTGCCTATGAATCCATGCAAATTTGAGTCTGCAGGAAGGATGCTCCTCTCTGCTTTTTCTCACAGCTATTATAAAATGCACTGTAGAGAAATCACTACAATTCAAGCCAAATTTATTGCTTCTTTTAAAATCCTTAATTTAGTGACAGGGATTAAATGCATTTTTTGGGCTGCTATTACTGCTTCAAGAACCCACAAACCCTGTAAAGGAAAGGCACTTGCAGGATTCACAATGGACTCTCAAGAGATGAGTGAAAACAAGAGCAGAGTTGATAGAATGAGACTGTATAGGGAAGAAAGAAAATGGATGGAAAGCTGGCACCCTTTTATGCACTCAGTGCAAAGAAACATAAAAATATGATAATTACTTAGTCCCTTCACAGATTCTGAGAATAGAGGTATGTCTTCTGCCTACACAGAGATTTTTCTTACTACCTGTGACTAAGATGTAATTGTGAAGCTTGTACCTATCTGATATATCCTCTGAGACACATCCATAAGAAAGTGGGCACCCAAGCACCTCCCTCTGCTCAAGAAGACCAAAGTTCATTCAATATATTCCAATCCCCGCAAATTACTCCTAGGTAGCTGGCCTCCCTACTTCTCCATACATGGTAAATAGGCAGGTGGCTTACTGGGAAATGAGAAAATGTTTTCATCAATAATTCTCTGTCCACACCAGGATATGCAGGAGTCAGCTTAGGCTCTGGGAACAGAAAATCTCGAGTATTTTCTTCATAAAATGCAAGGCCATCTCCTGCTGAAAGAATACAAAAAAAAAGAAAAATAAATAAATACAAAAGTAAAAACAGTTTCCAGGGTTGTTGTTCTGGAATTTTCATGAAAAACAGATGTCAGTACAAATTCAGGAATGTATGAACGTCTTTGACAGAATGCTGCTCGTCTTGTGCTGTCAGAGATAGCTAGAAGCAAAATGCAGACAAACCATTTATGCTTTCAATATTTATGGAAGACTTTGGTTTAGCATAGCAACAGTGAGTTTTGACACTATTCTTAATATTCGTTGTCAGGACTTCCCCAAACCATTCTGGGGAGGTGAATGGCTGAAGGTAGACTGTGTAGTTATACCGTGTAGAATGTCCAAAGCTGCGACCCCAAATTTAAATCTGCTCCTTGTTTTACCTACATGGCACCCCAACTACATAAGAAATGAACACCAGCATCTCTTGACGAGGTTAGAAGACAAATTCCCTCTTCTACACAATTTCTACAGAGTATAATGTATGGGTCTACACTCAGCGTGCTAAATGTTAGTCCAGTTGACTTAAGTGGAGGTCTTCACGGTGCTCTCAGTATGACCAGGATTTTACAAACTGAACAAACAACTAACTGATATCAGCTGCCCACAGGAATAATGTAAAAAGATTGACATGAGATTACAACATTCCAACATATGTTCAAAATAAGTGTCATCTTAAAAATGGTAATCAAAGGCAGCCACTATTGCCTTAAATTGTATTCCCTCCAAAGAGCTAGCTATGCCGTCAGCATCACATAAATGGCTACCCAGTCACAAAACATGAGACTTACAGCCCACTAACTAAGGGCGAAAGTATCCACATACCACACTCGGCTACAGACCTTCTCTGCCTTCAAAACTGCACTTCCTGAGCTCCATGTGAATGGAGAAGAGGAGGGTCAGTTTTGCTCTGTTTGTGTGGCACAGGCAGAGACAGAAGATGCTCTTATAACATCCTCTGCAGCAGGAAAATTGTCAGGTACACTGTCAACTGCCCTGCTTAGAAGCTTTTGCTTCACTGAAATGACCAGTTAGGGGGGGCCCCAATGTTACACTGCAATGTCATGAGGTGAAAGCTACCACTGCCTTGGATGTATTCAGTATTCTTGCTCCCTTCTAATGATCACTAAACACAACCCTTTCAATTTGGTGATATCTAGATAAAGCAATACTAATAAGGGAAGAAAGACAGTAACACTTTTGACCCTATTCACAGTTCAATCTTTTCTAGTCAATTTCGTTGTAAGAATTGCCTTTTCTAACTGATCCCTGGTTGTCAATGACCAGAAAGAAATTTTAATAAGAAAAACAAGCAAACAGTCAATTTTGTTGTATGCAGACTATCTTGAGATACAGGAAGGACAGAAGCTGACATTCATTCCTCTTACAAGGAACATGTTTAGGCTTTTTTTTTTTTTTTCAAGTGATCTTTGAAATAATTAAGTTTTAAAAAAGAAAACATTCCCTCTGAAAAAAGTACAACTTTCAACTGCCTATTTTTTCAGAGGAAAAAAAAAAACAAAAGACACAAAGAGAAAGAAAATACCTGAAGTTTGATTAATGAAAGACATGAAAGACTTTGTAGGTACTATCCAGAACAAAGCCCAGGTGTTCTGCAAGACTAGAATATTCTGAGGAGATCAATAAATCCGCAACCACTTTTTAGTACAGTCTCATCCTTTTAAGAAGAGTGAGAATACTGAGTAATCTTTCAGTCCTATCGAACACAGAGAAAATGTGAAAAGCTCAGAGAACAAAACCATTATACACTGCATGTAGCTACATGAGATTCTGATACCTATAAAGCTTGAATGGAAGTAACTCTGTGAAAAGACAACGTTCACAGTCTCTGGACTAAGACAGACAAAAAGGTTTTGGCCTTGCTTAGGATTTTAAATAGACATAATAAAAAATCTCTCCTTTGAATGAATATTTCTCTAAGCTGAAATCACAAATTACCCTTTATTATATTAGCAACTTTTGAAAATAAAAAAGCAAAGCTGAAAGGGAGAAATGAACATCTGAAGCAAAGCATTTTGAAAAACAAATACAAAATGTACAGCTGATATTAACTACATATGAAATATAATGTATAGTTTAAATTTGGCTTGATAGAGCAATAACGAATAATTTTCAAAGTAAATGCAACCTACAGTTTTAGAATATATACAACTGCTTTGTAATTACTGACCTTCACAACAGCGCTTATCTGCCACTCAGGGTCATTTGCTTTTTTTCCTGCCTTATGAAAAATAGAATATAAAGTCTGCAAAAAAACAAACACTATTACCTACTAAGATGAACTATATTCATGTTCTGATTAATTATTGCTGGCAAATTAAAACACGCAACAAAGGAAACTAAAGAATATGAGTGACCCTAACACAGCATTCAATAAGCTTAGTCAGAAGAGAGATTATTTTTTTCACCTCAAGTGCGTTCCCAAGAATATATATGATGAAGTGAGGAAGGGAGAATAAAATGGAGTTGGAGGAGCCAGCGTAATCTTTGAGTAGAAAAAGTTGGAAGGCATGGTATAAAATTAGCATCCACTGATATTATTTTCATTGTAAAATTACCTAATATGTGGAAAAACATTTACTTGCCTATTACCTGGAGATGTGAGCTGAATTAATTCAAACTTCGTTACGAGACCTGAAAAACAAATTATAACAGCCTAGCTAAGTAATTAGAATAGATTTACTGTTTACTCCTGTGGTACACAAAATGGAAACTAACCTAATAGTAAAGGATGAAGGACAGGAAAATAGAGAAAGGACAGAAGGGTAAGAGAGAAGAGAGAGTCAGATTTAAGGCTAGTCCTTCTTTCAGTGAGTTCCTGGAGTATTTATTGTAAGGCTACTATTAATAATTTAAAAGAAGCAAGCAGGAAAGAAGTATCAGCACAAAATAACCGCTTGTTGTTGACACCTGGTGGGATTAGATGATAATGAGACAGTCACTGCGTCAATGGCTTCTGGCTTGACGTTCTGCTGAGCTTACTTGGTCCAGAGCACGAAAACCTGAGATCCAGTAAGAGCAAATGGGTGCTAACTAGATTAAGATTAGGGGATAACAACTGTTTAAACTAACGACAGCATCTCCTTCTGTCAGTATGACTGAAGAAGTCTGCCTGCATGGGGCAGGTGACTTGAAGTGATGAAACGGAATGTAAGAAGTACTGATTTTTCTAATTTGAAAAAGAACTATTCAGTCACTGAATTCATGACACATTACAAACTTCAAGAGAAAGATTTACAGAGGAAAAAAAAAATAAAAGCAGCCTTGTCAGGTCTGCCTAGCACAAGCTAGGTACACAAAAGTATAGGAAAAAATCCTGGCCTGAGAATGGAAGAATGCCATTCACCGTACAGGAGGTACAGACTACCACTCAAATGGGTAAATCCAGAACAACATGTAAGAGGCACAACGTTTAGCTAAGACAGACAAACAAGCAGAGAGACAGACTGTGTACATATAGGTACCTACTTTGTCATTTTTTAGCTGTTCATCTATTCCAAACATTTTTTTAAATTATACTTACTTTCAAGTATTTCAGTTACAGCAGCAGGATCTACAGCATGTTCAAAGACCTTCAAGATAATAACAGTGAGTGAAAAAAGTCATTATAGTATAAATTAATTTAATAATCCAGCATTCATAGAAACAGTTTACTACTTGTTGCCTATTTTGATCATGCTGCCACTAAGCAAAATCAAACTAAACTAATAATATATATCTATTTATGACAATGGTAAATATTTTTATGCTGTTTACATTTATATTTTTTAAAGTATGTGACATTTTTGGGGAAAAGAAAAGTACCTTTTACTATTAGTTCTACTGCAAATTTAGTTTTACAGCAAATTATGTCCTGTTCAGATATATTCTTCTTATTGCTTGGAATGAAATTGCAAACATTTTGCAATACATGGGAATTTTAACACAAACTCCAGCCAGTATTTCATGATGAATTTTCTGTCTATCTAAAGAAGTTTCTCTTTCCTATATCTTACTCACTCGATCATTTTGGGTAGCTTTTCTATGCCCCATGAAACTTATCAACATCCTTCTTACAATATTATCAGTGCTTTCAAAAAGTATTTTAGTGAGAACTTTTTTGGGTGGGGCTGAGCAAGATAAATGTCTTCCCTGAGAAATAAAATGTGTTGCTTCATATTAGGTAATACCTACAAATGAAAAATACCAGTTCATAAACACATGAAAAACACCATTTCACAAACACATTAGTATGAGATAAAATAGGCTATGAACTTATCAAGCGTCACCTGCTTCGTGATAATTACCCTGATCCTCCTCTTCTCACTAGATAAATGTAAGAGAACCCGCTCTCCTATAAAAGTGGGATACATTATCTCATTTTTAACTTCGTGTCAGAACAACGCAATGGACATGTATTACAGAGGATTCAAAAGGCTACAGGCTCAGAGCTATGTTCACCCTAAGATTCAGTAAAGTCCCAGCAGAAATTACTTTGTAGTTTTCACATGTGCTGACCATAGCTTTTCACTTGTGTCAGCAATAACCTCAAGGGACAAAGGAAAGTAACCACCTTCTCTCTTCCTCAGAGAAAGAAATGTTGATAGCGATGTAAAAAGAGTATTAGAGCAGCTGAAACACTCAGAGAGTGCAATGAAGAAGGAAGGGTTTCTCAGAATGCAGAACAGTCAGAAAGCAACACATAAAAAAGACATAATTCTAAAATTTTTCAGTTTCTGTTTTGTGCTGGTATCAGCATGGTTCTGCTTATCAACAGGCACAGTCATTTTGCCCCAGCCCACATTTCCAATAAAAAAAAAAAAGCAGGACCAGAACTAGTGAGCAGTGCAGTAAAATCAAGTTGAAAACTTGATTTCAGAGGTTAACATGGCATGTAAAAGGCTGGCAAAAGCATTTGCCTGTCATTCATTTGGATCTTCATTCACACCATATGTCTCTTGCTATAATAAAAATCTTGAATAGGTGAGAGCCACAGTAGAATATACAGTAGATACTGTTTTGCTTCCCCAAAAAAATCTGAAACAGCATAATTCAGAGCAATTATCATTATATGCTATTGTCATTTCTGAAATTATACAAGAATTTTCTGCAGGAAATGCCATCCCATAACCATTGCTCTCAATAAAACCTCAAACTGCGAAATCTTAGGGCATGTTAAAATGTATTCCTTTTTAGTAGTGGGTCTAATACTTCATCACATTGTGTCAAGATACATACAATATGTATCAATAATAATTACCTACCAGTCATACAAAAGTTAGGTTGTACAGGAATTGTACAAGGCACTGGACGATCTAGTCTAAAGCACATAACAAGTGAAACTCACCTTTTCAAACAACATCTTCTCATGGAACAAGAGGGGGAAAACGGGAGGAAGGCATTCCGTCTCCTTGTGTTGACCCAAGATGCACACGCTGAGATAAACGTCATGTTTCTCTGGCAGGAACACACCAGGACATGTGATCTAATGAGAGAAAAAAAATTGTGTTCACATGGTATTCTCAAATCCAGTCTCGCACATATGCACCAGACACACATGTACTCAGTCAGCGGGACTACCGCCGCCCAGCTCAGACGGGATTCAATGGGATTCAACGCCTGGGAACAGAAAAACACGAATCCCTGAAATATATGCACTTCAGTGCCTGCCTAGGAAGCATATAAACATATTTGAAAACTTCACCCTGGCATTTATTTCAGCCAAAATATTTTACATTGTTTTTTAAAAAATCATTTCACTATACTATGTCATTTTATATTATTTTAATGGTAATTTTTCAGTGTTGATATTCCAAAATTTTGTCATGACATATACATATCAGCGCATGTATATACAGACCTGTAAGCTCTATTCTCAAACCAGTGTCTACAGATTCATGGTAAACACATTTGGCATACATACATACTCAAATTAGTGGTATAGCTCTTTAATATCTGTCTTGAAACAATGAGAAATTTAATTTCTAAGCACACAGTTCCAAGCATAGCCTTTTTTTTTTGTCATCTCTGTACTGTTCTCATCCCCCTCCCCCATCACTTATTGTGATGAAAAAAGGTACAATTCCCACGTAGGGTATGATTCAGCTTTACAATTGTCTCACAACACCCCAAACTTCTCCGCTACGATATAAGCACTCTTCGAGACACCAGGTCTCCACTATATTTATGCATTTAGCACTCAAAGTTTTATAGCACGGGGCATTTTCGCATTTTATAGTGGGGTCTTTTCTTTTTTCTTTTTAACAGACCTTTTTAGCACACTTTTTTTTTGCCTTTTTACCAAACCAATCTCCTAGACACCGGTAAGTGACGTTCTACACACCGGTGGATATCTAAGGACACCCAAAAGAGATCGAACGATTAAAAAGCATGAGGTTTTTTGCCTTCGTTCAATTATTTATTTATTTTATTTTCGCCTCAGGAG